AAAATGAATTGATCTTTTAGAGCAGAGAACCATGTCTGGGGCAGAGCAAGAAACATACGCTGTCATAGTGACTCTACTGAGGGCCACTAGCTTAGCCTTTGCTGCCTTCTTGGCCTGGCACCTCCATCACCTCAGTTATCCTTTCCTATCCTCTCTCTTCTTCTTGGCCTATGAAGTCCAATGACCCAAGTCAAGAGCTCAGTGGTCCTAGGATGGGTTTTGGCAAGACTATTCTTCCTTCCTTTCCCAAGGCTCTTCAACAGGAGCAGACCAGGTGGTTTGCTCCATTTCTAGTGAATGAACTGTGACAACAAGGAGTGCAGCAAGCAGAGTAGCTGGAGATGCTTCTAATCTTCCATCCGTGTGATCCACAGTAGGAAAGATCTTTATCCTCAAGGACAGTAATCTTTCTGGCTGATTTTCATGTAAAGTTCTGCTTAAGACCCTATAATTTTAAATAATAAGGCCCCAAACCCTCCCTTAAACCTGAAAATGTCTTTATTCCTATAAGCCTGCCATCATACACTATTACAAATAACAGACTAATTAAAATCTAGATGCAAACCTGGTAAAATGCATCTTTCATACACCTCCCCCCCACCACAAGACAGAGAGGTTAAGTCTGGAGAAGATTAGAAGTGGGGAGACTTTTACCACCTGGAAAATAATGGTAAAATCTGAAAAGACTTCATTTTAATGTGAAGTGAGTAATAAGTAATAAGTAAGTAAGGAATTGTACTTCTAGCATGAATGATATACCTCTTAAGAGGTCTTTGTAATCGATACTAATCTATATTATCCACTGATTTAGTCAGAGCCCAAGGGAAATGGCAGCATCAACAAGAGACTCCCATCCATTGTGGAAGATGAGGAAGAGGAGGAGGAGCAGGAGGAAGAGGAGACAGCCTCCCTCTCTCCCATCTGCACAAGGGGATCCTCTTCTTCATGCAGCAAGAAGGTTGGAAGCAGTAAGAGCTATCTAGGCTTAAGCTTAAAGCAGCTGGCCTCAGGAACAGTGCCATTTCACTCACCTATCAGAGTCTCCAGTTCAAATTCCCCCAAAATCAATCTGGAAATGGACCCCCCTAACCATGGTAAAAGGAAAGAGAAGAACCTGAAGTTGCAGCTCTCAACTTTGAATAGTGCTGGCCCCCCAGACCTCAGTCCAAGGTAAGAGTTCACATCACATAACTCATTACCAGATGAAAGTGGCTGCCTTTTATACAGACTAGTACCCGCCTAGTAAATTACTCATCCTTCTAGGCATTTCTACTGCACAGATTCCTAACCTGCATTCTTCATCTTCCCTGAATTTTGTATGCAATTTTTTGAATATATGTGCAGATGTGTGTATGGTGTGGGAATAAATAGTTTTAATTATATTCTCAAAAGCATCCATTAAATGTTCAGATTTCCTTCTCTACTATCTTGATCCACTTAGCTCTACCTATTGGGTTAAAAGTATATTTCTACATTGTGATTTCTAATGTATAAATATATAATGAATGTAAAATACATGGAATAATCCATCAATGTTCTCCCCTCAATGCTTGATCTTACCAAAAGCTTCATGGAGCAACAAGTTGAAGTTATAGAGAAAACAAAGTGCTGACTTACACTTTTCCCTACTGTTTGCCTCATTCTTCTGGACAGCTGAGGCTTAGTTTTATTTCTGGTCTCTTCAATAGGTAACATGGCTTAGCTCTACTTTTAATTTTTAAAACATCACTTTACAATAAACTAAAGGTGATTGAGAGGGTGAAAAACCCTGACTTGAAAAATGTGAAAGGGGGGCTGGGCCCATGACACACTCGGGAGAGTGCAGTGCCGGGCCCATGGCACACCACGGGTTCGGATCCTATTTAGGGATGACCGGTGCGCTCACAGCGCTCACTGGCTGAGCATGGTGCGGCTGNCTGAGGGCCACTAGCTTAGCCTTTGCTGCCTTCTTGGCCTGGCACCTCCATCACCTCAGTTGTCCTTTCCTATCCTCTCTCTTCTTCTTGGCCTATGAAGTCCAATGACCCAAGTCAAGAGTTCAGTGGTCCTAGGATGGGTTTTGGCAAGACTATTCTTCCTTCCTTTCCCAAGGCTCTTCAACAGGAGCAGACCAGGTGGTTTGCTCCATTTCTAGTGAATGAACTGTGACAACAGGAGTGCAGCAAGCAGAGTAGCTGGAGATGCTTCTAATCTTCCATCCGTGTGATCCACAGTAGGAAAGATCTTTATTCTCAAAGACAGTAATCTTTCTGGCTGATTTTCATGTAAAGTTCTGCTTAAGACCCTATCATTTTAAATAATAAGGCCCCAAACCCTCCCTTAAACCTGAAAATGTCTTTATTCCTAAAAGCCTGCCATCATACACTATTACAAATAACAGGCTAATTAAAATCTAGATGCAAACCTGGTAAAATGCATCTTTCATACAACTCCTCTCCCCCCACAAGACAGTTTAAAAGACCAAGAGAAGGATTGGGGGCTAAAACCAGGAAAGCAGAGAGGATAAGTCTGGAGAAGATTAGAAGTGGGGAGATTTTTACCACCTAGAAAATAATGGTAAAATCTGAAAAGACTTCATTTTAATGTGAAGTGAGTAATAAGTAATAAGTAAGGAAGGAATTGTACTTCTAGCATGAATGATATACCTCTTAAGAGGTCTTTGTAATCGATACTAATCTATATTATCCACTGATTTAGTCAGAGCCCAAGGGAAATGGCAGCATCAACAAGAGACTCCCATCCATTGTGGAAGATGAGGAAGAGGAGGAGGAGCAGGAGGAAGAGGAGACAGCCTCCCTCTCTCCCATCTGCACAAGGGGATCCTCTTCTTCATGCAGCAAGAAGATTGGAAGCAATAAGAGCTATCTAGGCTTAAGCTTAAAGCAGCTGGCCTCAGGAACAGTGCCATTTCACTCACCTATCAGAGTCTCCAGTTCAAATTCCCCCAAAATCAATCAGGAAACTGACCCCCCTAACCATGGTAAAAGGAAAGAGAAGAACCTGAAATTGCAGCTCTCAATTTTGAATAATGCTGGCCCCCCAGACCTCAGTCCAAGGTAAGAGTTCACATCACATAACTCATTACCAGATGAAAGTGGCTGCCTTTTATACAGACTAGTACCTGCCTAGTAAATTACTCATCCTTCTAGGCATTTCTACTGCACAGATTCCTAGCCTGCATTCTTCACCTTCCCTGAATTTTGTGTGCAATTTTTTGAATATATGTGCAGATGTGTGTATGGTGTGGGAATAAATAGTTTTAATTATATTCTCAAAAGCATCCATTAAATGTTCAGAATTCCTTCTCTACTATCTTGATCCACTTAGCTCTACCTATTGGGTTAAAAGTATGTTTCTACATTGTGATTTCTAATGTATAAATTTATAATGAATGTAAAATACATGGAATAGTCCATCAGTGTTCTACCCTCAATGCTTGATCTTACCAAAAGCTTCATGGAGCAACAAGTTGAAGTTACAGAGAAAACAAAGTGCTGACTTACACTTTTCCCTACTGTTTGCCTCATTCTTATAGACAGCAGAGGCTTAGTTTTATTTCTGGTCTCTTCAATAGGTAACATGGCTTAGCTCTACTTTTAATTTTTAAAACATCACTTTACAATAAACTAAAGGTGATTGAGAGGGTGAAAAACCCTGACTTGAAAAATGTGAAAGGGGGGCTGGGCCCATGACACACTCGGGAGAGTGCAGTGCTGGGAGCGCAGCGGCGCTCCCACCACGGGTTCAGATCCTATTTAGGGATGACCGGTGCGCTCACAGCGCTCACTGGCTGAGCATGGTGCGGCTGGTCTCAAAAAGGACAAAAAAAAAATGTGAAAGTGGCAGGCTATAGTTCATTAAAGCAATAAAAATTGTCCAAATCACATAATAGCTGACTAATAAATTGAAGCAAGAAAAAAATATTGAGTGCTTTCTATGTTTCGTGGACGTTGCTAGAAAATTTCACATTCAGTATTGCATTTAGTCTTCTTGGAATCCTGTAAAGTAGTTCAGATTATTTCTATTATAAAGTAGTAAGAATTGAAACTCAACAATTAAATATTTTGTCCAAGGTCTCAAACTTATTAAGCACAAGGGTACTTTAAAAAGTTTGTGGAAAAATAGAATTAAAAGATTATAGAAACCTTTCCATGAACATTTTGAAGTACCCTTGTACTGAAAGCTGGATTCAAAATCTTTCTACATGTAAAGCAAGTGATCTTTCTGATATACTACATGCTGAATTATTCATTTGAAGGCCACAACTTAATCATTAACAGAAAATATTTTTTAAAAAATAAGAAAAACAGATTGGACGAAAAGCAGGTATACATTAAATTTTCAGGAATTCATTTGATTGCTTAACTCTTCTTCTTTCTAAATTTTGACTAAAGTAAAAAATAATAACTTTTAAATGGAAAGGCAACGTATCAGAGCTTGAAAAGAAAGATTTATGTACTATACGATCCTATAGTTATAAAAAGAATGCATGTTATTTTATTTATAGAAAAATATTTTCAGAAAATATACCAGAATGTTGACAGCAGTGGTAGATTACAGGTGATGTTTATTTTCTGATTTTTTTTTGTTACCTTTATATTTAAATTTTTACAATCGCCTTGTATTTTTTTTTTAATAATTAATGGGTTAAATATTATTTACCAGGGAACCAAGATTAGCTAACA